AGGGCCTGATCCCAATTGCTGCTGAGGATCTTAGGTTCCCACTGTGTCCAGTGGGAATTGTTGTTGCTCAGTACTTTTTAGGAGTTAGCTGGGAGTATACTTCACCGAGTTGTGCTTAAATCATTGTTATTGTTGGTGTACTAAGATGTGTTGGCATGATAAGGTGTTATGTAATTTTAAGATAATGTTATTGTTAAACAAAGAGCCATGTTAATTTCAGTTTCATTCAAACCACTGGGTGTGGGGGAAGGAACAATGTTTGTTTTGTTAACTTTGGGTTAGTCTTTCTGAGCTACACCTCCCCCAAGAGGACAGGGGGTTGAGATAGATTTACATCACCTTCACACCTATTGCCTGCTCCAGGGGCTGCTGTGCCCTTTGGGTAAATTAGAGCAGCCTCTGGGCAAAGCACTGACTTAAGGCTGGCACGATTATGGCCACTCCCCCTTGCATCCTCAGCAAGTCACTCTGCCACGGGAAGCAGGGGAGATGGGCAGCACCAGGCTGTGAACGTTAGCCCTACGCTGAGCAAATTTTTCCAGGGGCTGTTGTGGTTTCTTTGTTTTCTGCAGGCTGCTAGGATAGGAGCCAGAATAATGGTCTGCACCAATAAGTCATCTGAGTTATTGTTTAAGCATGTCATATTGATTTGAAAACTCAGGTCAGTCTCAGAATACTTTTTGGCAAAGACATCACCATAATAAGTAATTGTGAAATGACTGATACACTTCCTTAGACTTAAGCTGTAATAGTAATAGCAGTAGAGATAACATCAGACTGAGTGAAAAGGAGTGATCAGATTAATCTCACTGATCCTAACAATTCTAGCATTGATAATACTTATAACAAAAGTGTTACTTTCTCTGAATAGGAAGCATATTGCTGGTGTAAACAAGAAGTTCATTAAATAACAGGAAACACTTTCATATAGCAGAAAAGTAAAAGTTGGTTATTTTAATTCAAGGAAATTGGAGTAAAAGCTGGCTATTTAATTCCAGGAAATATAAGAAAAACAGTTTAAAGATCCAACACGTTAAAAAAAAAAAGGGGGGGGGGGGAGAAAATTTACGCATTCTTTAAGCAGAGTGGAAAAGGCAGTTTTGTGTTCTACATTGTTTTCACAAATCTTAGTTTTCTATTTCGCTATCCCTTTTTTCTTCTCCAAAGAAAGTATCATTTCTCACTAGCAGAGCTTGTCAGAGAAGCTATGATGGAACCATATTCCATTGATATAAAAATGCTTTGCAAAAGTGGGTCAGTTTTACTAGATTTTCATTTCAGAAAAAAATAGGGAAGAAAAAGTTCCGATAATGTCAAAACATCCCATTTCAATAGTTTTGGAATAAAATGTTTTGACTTTTTTGTTTTGAAAGGACTTTTCATTTCAATTTTTAAAAATTTGTATTGTATAATATAATACAAAATAAGTCAAAATTGAAGTGTTTCATTTTTGTCTAAACAAAATGTTTTGATCCGCAACAAATATTTTTTTTCAATTTTCCTTCAAAAATTTCAGTTTTTGTTCCTATTCTGAACAAAACCAGATTTTGAAATCTCAAAATCTTTCATAAAATGGAACTTCCGTCCTCTGCACAGCTCTACTCATTAGCGTGTTGGAGTAGGGGCACTGGTTTGAAAAATGACTGCAAAGTTGCATGTGTGTGGGATATTTTAAGGAGCAGAAGTTAGCTAAATAATATGATAATCTGAACTGTTATGTGCAAGCAAGTGAATTCGCTGGGTAAAAAAATTCAAATTTTGATGGAGGAAGTGAATGCTGCGGACCTAAGTTTGTAACTGCTTTGCTGAAAGATTGCACTACGTTTATACACCTATTGGGCCTAATCCTGCAACCTTTGGCTATGTGAACAGTCTTTATGCACAAAAGTTGGCTCCATTCATTGCAGTGGGATTAGTTGTAGACACAGATTCAAGTCCCTGTTCCACTTAATTTATAGTGATTTGGAATGAAAAAACTCTGCTCTGAATCAGGCAGAACAGGGATACACATCACAAGATAGTGCACTAGCCACCACACTTTGCAATCTTTCTTTCTTTCCTGTTCCACCGCAGAGAGCCTTTGACCCCCAAAAAATCCTTCAGCCACAGTTCTGTTTTTGTAACAAACCCAAATTTTGAAAGTTTTTTCAAAACAGAATTGTTGTTCTCTGGACAGCTCTAGATGATAAACAGGAGAAAAAAATCTGTGATGATGCAGTCCATATGCTTTATGGAAATATGCTTATGAATATGACATAACTGGAATATGCTTTACGCTAAATACCCCTTATATAATGTCATTAGAACGCTTGTAATCTACTAAGTGTGTTCATCATATTTGTTTGCATGTATTACTTCTATATCTGGAGTTAGGAGAATAAGATATAAACTTGTATCACTGATGTAAACATATGAAGTGGAGGCCATTAAGGGTGCTCCAGAAACAACCAGTTGTAAATAGCCTTATTTACTTGAAAGCTTTCCTGCATACGTGTGGGCCAGCCCATGGGGAATGGAGACTAGACCATGTCACCTGACGATGAAATCCATCTTAAATCTGGTACTTTTCCATTTAGAAGGAAGGGTGGGGACCCAGGGAGACAAAAGATTCCTGCCTTGTGCCAAAGCTATCAAAGGGGATGGAGCAGGACAAAGGAGGCTGCCAGTAATGAGAAAACCCCTGCTTACCACCTGAGATGTCTGCTGGAACTAACAAGGATTGTACCGGGGAAAGGATTGGGCCCTGACTAGGAAGGAGTCTAGTCTGTGAAAGAAGCTTATTGGAAAATCTCTGAGGGTGAGATATTACCTGTAATCAGTTTCTTAATGTATTAGGCTTAGACTTCTGTGTGTTTGCTTTATTGTGCTTGGTGACTTACTTTGTTCTGTCTGTTATTACTTGAAACCACTTCAATCCTACTTTTTATACTTAATAAAATCACTTCTGTTCATCAATAAATCCAGAGTAAGTGATTAATACCTGGGGGAGCAAACAGCTATATATATCTCTCTATCAGTGTTACAGAGGGTGGACAATTTATGAATTTACCCTGTATAAGCTTAATACAGAGTAAAACGGATTTATTTTGGGTTCAGGCTCCCAGAAAGACTAAACACTGGGCGCTGGAAAAGTCCCTGTTAACTGAGAAGCCCCTGGGCTGAATGAATCTGTTTCAGTGAACTGCAGAGAGGCGTGGCCCAACCTCTGGGTCTGTGCTGGAGCTGACTGGAGTGTTTAACTCAGCAAGACAGGAGTGGAGGGGTGCTTGTTCTGGCAGGAGGGTTGTTCTCAGTGGTATCCCAGCTCATCGAGTGACAGTATCAAGGGGAGTCTCTGTGACTGAACCCGTCAGACCATCACATTGCCTATACGCCTTCTTTGAGCTTTACAACACTTAAAGTGCAGTTCTAGGCTGAAAAATGGCATTGTGGGCCTCTATTTATAGTTTCAGTGATATCTGTATCAAATGTGCTCAATTCATAGGTAAAAGTGAAGGGTTTCTCCTGGAAACTCCTGGAAACTCTGAGAGTCAAGCTTGGGTTCTTTTCATCTTACATATTGTTACAAATAAAGGTCTTGCAGGCTACATTAGGTACACAGTGACACCTGTGCAATTTCATTGTCTTCAGTGGTGCCTCTGCAGCCCCCATTGCCTTCAGTGCTTTTGCAAAGGTGTAACCTATTATAATTATAAACAATTGGGTTGATATTCAGGATGGATTACCAGAACAGCAATCCAAAATGACCAGAGCAGCATGTTCTCTGCAAACTCCCATAGTCCTACACCCTGTATTCTCTTACCAGTCTCCCTAGCTGGACCCTAGGTCACTTTATTTACACCTGATCACTTTTGTGCCAATACTTCATGGGAGGCAAACTCACTGTCATTCCACATGGCATTTTTTTCTCCTTTATTCTTAAAATTAAAATAAAACCAAGTTAAAATGGAATATGGCTATTATCTAATTGTTTTCCTTCCTCACAGATTTTGTTGCAAAAAATTTTGTGGAGCGAAAGGGGCTGAGGTAAATTGCATTATATCAGGGCTGCAATATCCCAGAGAGCTAGGAATATCCCAGGTTTTGAGACCTCATCTAGTGTGCCTTTCAATATTACCCAAACAGGTGTTTTCTCCCAGTGTTTCTAGAAACCTGCAGCCTCTGTCCACTTGAGCCAGTAAAACTGAAACAGGCTGGCTGAGTATATATGCACCTTAAAAACCACCCTGAACCAGACCTGGGACTTGTCGCCACCCTGCCCTTCCCAGGCCCCTAGCCTGAGTCTTCCTCTTCTCTCGCAGCTGCTCAAACCCTGTGCACACCTGCCTAACACCGTAACCATCCTCTGCTGCTCCCTGCCCCTGCTGGTGCCTCAGTTGTCCTGTTTTCACACTGGCAGTTTAGTCGCCCTAGCTCTGTTTGACACTGCAAAGCTGAGAGAGAAAAGGTGGGTGAGGTAACCCCTTTTATTGGACCAACTTCCGTTGGCGAGAGAGACAAGCTTTGGAGCCACAGGGAGCTGAGCGATGCACAGCTGGGGGAGGCGAGAGATGTATTCCCTGCCTGCAGCTGCTGCATGCTCAGAGCCAAAGGGCAGAGTTTGGGAGAGGGGAGATTTTCCAGGTTTGTTTCCTGCCCCCCAAATCAATCAGTGCCTGCCTCCCTCCCCAGCCCAGCCCCAACTGGGTCGGTGCTGTGTGCCCCCTGTCCCTGAGCTCAGGCTAGCAGGGCCTGCTTGGAGGCTGGGGATGGGGTGGCACATGAATTCCCTGTTGCTATGGGAACTCACGCAGTCATCCGCAGACTGGTCTGGGAGGCAGGAGAAGGAGAAGCCGGTCATGTGGTGAAGCAAGATGGCTCCCGGAGCCTGAAGGCTGCAGTGTGAGTGGGTGGGAGGGCGGAGAGTGAGTACGGGCTGGCACTGTCTATCATTGCCATGCATTCATCACTGAGGCAACAGCTGCTGCTCGCTGCCCCTTTCTCTGCGCTGCACTCCTGGCTTCTGAGCCAGGGAGAACTAGCTCAGCAGCCCCCCTTGGGTTGTAACTCCCCACTGTCTCCTGTGCGCATCGCAGCCGCAAGTGGCTTTCCCTGCTGGGCTTCTGACAACACTGTGTCTAACTTTTATTACAGGGTTTTCTGCCTGCCCCTCTGCGCCCAGCTGATGGGAGAGCTGCTGGGCCAATGCCCGTTCCGTGCTGTCTGACCAGCCTTGACGTGATCCTGCGACTTGCCGCACCTTTACAATGGCCCTAACCTTGTTTGGTAAGTAAAACCCGTCTTTACACGTAGGGCTCCGACTGGCTCATCCTGCTCCCAGGAGAAAGCAGAGTGGGTGGGGGTATGTCTGTGGCTATACAATAATTCTGGGCTGTCTGACGTTCCTTATACAGGGATGATGGCTAGCAAGATAAGGCTGGTCTCTCCCATTGTTTCCCAAGGCAGAGCCTATGGGCGTGTGCTTCTTCTGTTAATTTCAGGCTTGTAAAGTAATAGCTAGCTACAGTTATTGGGCACTGCAGTATTAGGCTATAGATATTCTCGGGCATGAGCCCTCTAGTTACACATCACCTTATTATTACTATAAAATTGATGGTTTTGCAAAAGAAAAATACCCTCCCCCCAGTTAGTTCTTTATAGCCCAAAAGCTATTACTACTGTGCTGTGCACAGGACTAGCTACTGAGATAGCTCAATGCCATGGACATTGCACTGAAAGTATATTTGAATGGTAATATAAATAAAAGTTATGCTGCTTTAAAAAGTGCTCTAATGGGAAGAGGAATTGTACAGCAAAATGATAAATTAGCTAATGAGACAACCCCTGTTCTTCTGGGAATAGCTCTGTATAGTGCTTAATTGCCCATAACAATTAGATGTGTTTCTATAATTATATTTAATAATACAAATTCAAGAAAGAACACAGTATCTAGAGGTTATGAATGTTAGCTTTGAGTCTTTTTATAACATTAGATAATGTGTTGGAAAACAAAATGTAAAGACTACAATTTTAACTGTTGAACACGTGGTTTCTCTTAAATAAGATTGTTAAGCTTTATTGTGCATGTTACTTATTTTGCAATTTAAAAAGATATTGGGCGGCACAAAGTCCATTTACCTAATTATGCTAAAACCAGCAATACAAAGGAAGCAAAAATTAATATGATTAATATTAACATAATATTAATTGGAACCAATTTCATTGCTCTCATAAACAACTCATGGATGCCTCTTAATTCAGAAGTGCTTTCCAGTAAGTAATTTTACATAATTACCATTTATGTGAAGTGTGTTTCTAATGGTTTTTTTTACTCCTTGTGTAAATAATTTGTTTCGATTTATGACTCTGAGGTTAGTGCAAAGTCTTATAAGTATCAGACTTGATTCTCCACTCTTTCTGATTATAATTATTGTAGTATATTGTACCCCTTGAAGACCAAATGCAGCATGTGTACTGAACAGTTCTCTTCAGCTGAAATATGCTAATATTATTGTATATATTAAATTATATCAGTGTAATTTACCTAGTAGAGAAAGAGATGGCAGGTGTACTAGACAAACAGTACTAGACAAGTGTCACAGTTATTCATAAACATTAATAAAATCAAACAACTTTTACACTGTGTAGAAAATAGAGCTACATTATGAACCTTTTACTTACATTGGTGAGAAGTTATACAGGTAGTTCCATCACAGTCATAATCTGACTGTATAATTAATTACAAATAACCAAAACAAATACTGAAGTTAACAATAATAAAAAAGCACTTCTTAGTCATCTACAAGTTGATTTTTCCCTTCTCTTCTTGTTTTATTTCATGTATGTATTTTATGTACTAGATGTGATGCTGCTGTTCTTTTTTTAAATAACAATGTAAATTACAAAATAAATAGACTTAATAGTACATAGAAAAGGTCAAGTTCCTCTATCATGAGTTTTTTTGGATGGGCCAGTGCCATTTAGACTAACAAGAGTGAAGAAATGTAACGTGAGGACTTCTACTCTGTCCTCAGTTCATTCTGTTGTGTCTAGTTTTTAATAATATCTTGCACCAGTTGAAGACTCCTGCAGATCCTTAGCTGGTGTAACTTGTCATATCTCCATTGACTCCACCCCTTTAAAAAGCACAAAATGGGGAATAAAAAAATCGCAATAAAATTAAGAATCAGCCCAATAGATGGTAATAAATACAAATGATTCCTTTGAGGAATGGAAAACAAGTAAAGTTCTTCTTCATTGCTGGCAATTGTTAATGCAGGGATGTGAGTGAAAATGTAGATAAATGAACAAAATATGTGCAGTGTGGCTGCAATATAGTTGTTGTGAGACACAGAACTTTGAATTTGTTCATGTAAATCTCAAACAACTTTTATTTATGCACTTTTTTTTGCATTCACCTTTCATGTTGTTTCTTTCTGACTATTTAAAGAACCCTGTTGATTGTATTGTGAGTGAAATGCATTATCTTTCTCTCACATACATTATATTAGAGTACAAAAAAAGTTGGGCTTGTTTTAAATGATGCAAAAAGGAGAAGAAGACTAAGGGTTTGTTGACAGGGGAAAGTTTTACCAGTTATACTGGTATAATTAAACCAATACAGTTATACTGGTATAATTCCCTGTGTTGATGATCTTATTCCGGAATAAAAAGTGGCTTTTATTGGTTTAGTTTAAACGACTTCAAAAGCAACATAAACTAAAAGGGCCTCTTAAACTGGAATAAAAGTGCCCATACACACAGTTATACCAGTTGAAATTCACACCTTAGCTTATTCCAGTATAACTTTCCCTTGTAGAGAGATGTTTAATTGTGGATTTACACATTCAAATATGCAGTAATCTCATTAGTGCATTTCTTCTAATGTACTATCAGTATATCACACATTCAGTCTGGGGCTATGTATGCCAGTGTGTAGTTCATTGTGTGCTATACAGCATGCAAAAATGAGAAATAAACAGCTATATCGGTTTAGGGGGAAATCCACCAAGTCTGCTAGATCCTTTCCAATGCCATCTGGAAGGTGTGTGTGTTTAGGGAGATTTAGTTATTATGTTCCCTCTCTCCACTTTTAAGATTGTATTATCTAATGATTGCTTAGATGGGGTACAGGGAACTGGGACAGCAGACTATGGTGGCAAGGGCATCTAATGTTGTCAAGGCTAATTCCCCACTCTGGCACTTCGAGTGCAGAAGATGGGGGCCCGCAAGGATTCTAAAAATTAATACTGGCCACTCCAGGCTTGTATTAAACTCCCAAGTTTACAGCTTTTCTCTGACCTTATATTGGTAGATGCTGCCACCACCCAAGTGCAGAACCCCTTTGAGAGCCCAGGAAGATGCATTTGGGAATTCCTTCCTGTGGGTACCCTCAAGCGCGCGCGCGCTCTCACACACACACACACACACACACCCGCACGAAGAGCTGAGAAAGCGGGGGGGGGGAAGGAAATCAGCTGTTGCTACCAGCTAATGAAACAACATGTGCACAAACCTCTGAAGACACAAAAATCCAATTCTGTTCTTTAAAAAGGTAAATTTTATTAATAAAAAAAGAGAAAGCAACTACACCTGGGAACTCAGGCTATTGCTAGATTTTAAAAGAGGAACTACAAGGATTAAGCACACAATCGCTTTCTTGAGGTCAAGCTTAAAGGTTACAAGCAAAACAAAAGCACCTGGGGTTAGCAGAGAGGAATCCACAAGCCATAAAGAAATAAAAGGGATAAACCTAATCCCGTCTTCCTAGACATTTCCTGATCTTCTTACATATCTGGGGTTTTACATGAGTAGTTTCTAGGTACGATACTGATGATTTTTTCATACCTGGCCCATCTTCTTACAGCATAGCTCTGCCTTGTCCACCTCTCCCCGGGAGAACAACAACAGACAGACAAACAAAAGGGGAGTTGTTTTTTAATTTTAAAAAGTTCTAACCTTCCCACTGGCTCTTTCGGCCAAGTGCCCATTCACTTCCTTTTACCTATGCATAGCAGTGAGACTTTTTAACACTTTACAGGTAGAACAATTAGAGAACAGCTACTAAGAGGGATTTTATAGTTACTGGCTGGCTGGCTGTCCATAAAAGGGAGCTACCCTCCCCCCTTCATTTATCTCAAGTGTGTTGAAGGTTAAGAAAGATCTGTAGCTTCTAGGGATAGGGATAGATAGGAGTGGTGACCAAGCTTTGTCCCCATTTTCACTTGCCAAGTGGGGTAGTGCCCTGACGTGTACCTTCCTCCCTCCGTGTCTTTGTCACCACATTGTAATGTAATGTACTTACTATAATGTGCTTGATGGGAGCTGCACCTGAAGACCACTTGGAAAGTTCAGCTGGAGCAGAACATGGCTGCCTGCGTGTTAAGCAGTGTTAACCTTCTGCTCCATGATCTGCTTGGCTTCCTCTTTGTTTCCCATTGCAATTTATTGTGTTGCTTTTGGCCTTTAAAACCTTAATTATTTGGATGTTGGTTACCCTAGAAAATACCTCTCTCCTTATGCCCATACAATGGCAGTCATGACCATCTGAGGTGCTCAAGTCACAGTTGCCTAGTTTGAATGCTGCAAGGGCCTGTCCATTTCCCCAGGCCTTCCTGGGGAAGGTGGGAGATTTGATAGACTGTGGAGTGTATTAAGTGGAAGGGATACAGGATGGCTTTTCCAGATGGGGAGGGGCCGCCAGCAGAGAGGCTGCACTCAGGTCAAAGAGAACATGTAGGTTGTTGACTACTGGAAGAGAGCTCTCAGTTACTATGCTATGGCCACAGTGAAAGAGGATTGAAAGTCTGTCACAATGTTTGTTGGCTGAAAAATAGAGATCTGCCTGAATTATTTGTTGAAAATAATAGATCTGATTAATTCATTACTTTTATGTGTTAATTACCTCCCAACAGTTGGTGAGTTTTAGGAATTTGTTAGCTGATTGTTCTACTGTTCAACAAAAAGTTAGCGTAAACTTTCATGAACTGATCAGTATACATATTTGCTATTCATGATCTGCTATTTACTGCATGTTACTAGTCACCCAGTGCCCCTGGTATGGTTTCAGTTCTCTGATTGGATGACCTAAGCTTAATTTAAAGGAAGCAATGATTGTACTTTGAAAGTAATATGCTTTTATATTCTATTTCAAAGATTGCAAATTTCCCTTGATTTTTTTATGAATTTGTGTACTTTTCATAATGGCTCATCAGCTCTCTTGTGCGAATAAAAGAAAATGATTCTAATTGGCCATGAGACCTCTTCTAGCATGAAGATATTTGCAAATATGATTCATACTTGTACTCGTGTTCTTGCTGTTTGTGACTGGATCTGCTTACCCCGCACTAGCCCAAACAGGGTTAAGCCCATATTATTGACAGCAGAAGTCCCGCCTCCCCGGCGGGACTGGGCATGCTCCAGATGGTCTAGCAGTATAAAGGGAGGAAGCACAGTTCATTCTGGGCTGGAGGCCGTAGGGGAAGGACCTGTCTGGGAAGCTCCTGCAGAGGGCCAGCCACAGCCTCTGACAGCACCGGGAATCAGAGCTTCCCTGGGCCCGCTTGAACTCCGGTGACTGGAGGAGCCACAGGAGACAACCGGCCCAGCTGACCACCGAGAATCCGAAGTCTCATAGGAGACCCCAACGCGGACTCTGGTAGGAAGTGACCCAGGGAGGGTGACGGAGTGGTACCTCTCACCCGGGAAACCTCAGCTTGTTTCGGTAGGACCCTCCTGCTGAGTCAGTGGCAAGTTGTGACGCCCTGGGTTGGGGCCTGATGGAGCAGGGAGGGCCTGGGCCCCCCCATCAGGGCCGCCACACTCCTTGGTGGGCGCCCCAGCCCTATAGACTCTGGCTGTTAGGCCACACTGTCCTGCACCTAAGGGCAACGCTATCGACTCTGGCCACTAGGCCACGCTGCCCTGCACCTAAGGGTGATGCTATAGACTCTGGCCGCTAGGCCGCGCTGCCCTACACCTAAGGGCGGCTCTATAGACTCTGGCCGCTAGGTCATGCTGCCCTACACCTAAGGG